CAAACACACCCCAAGTCGGGCCCTTTGTGTCGGCTACCTGATGGGATGCGGTGCAAGCCCCTGGGAAAGCCACAATGCCTACCAGAACACGAGACCGGCTGTAATCATAGATAACCATGTACCTTCATCAGTAGTAAAAAGGATAGTATAGGCTATTCATGAATATGGAGATGAGAGAAGGATGTGTAAGGTAAAGATGAGGATGCCCCATTATCCTTGCCATATTTATATGATAAATCAACCCACTTTCTTTAGGCTACAATGATTGGCTTTGAGAACAATTAGGATCTAATAAACTCCTGACACGCAAGGTTTTACACAGATGAGTGAGCGAGAGAGTGCAAGACCGACCGAGCGAGTGGGAGGGAGGGAGAAGGAGTTACACCATTTGGAGAGATTTCCCTTGATTACTGTAGCATGTCGTAGTTTACACAAGAGCCATTGTTGAGCTCCTGACCTCCAGAAGAGCTTTGGTTCTGGCTGCTTAGTTCAGTCTGTAGCCTCAACACAGCAGTGTGTGTGTGTGTGTGTGTGTGTGTGTGTAGGGCTCTAAAGTGAGACTAATTTGGTAGCATATGCAATGAACTATTTTGCTGTGCGACAAGGAGTTTTATTTTGGGAGCACTGTGCGACTATGAAGAAAATCTCCCAGATAATAATTGTTGTAATGATGTAATGATAAGGTTTCACTGTACCGTTGTTTCTGAGTGCCCTAGAGAAACAAGCGAGTGCAGATTCGTTAGCGTCATGGTTGCACCATTACTACAGGGAAAATGGCTTGCTTCTAGACCAACCAGGTCAAAAGATCTGACACATTACCAGCGGATCGCCAGGACCTCATTTAAAAAATTCATAAACCATGTCGTGGGCCGTTCTAAAACTACTCACGCACCGTTAACCATTTGTTCCCTCATTGGCTAGCTAACAACCTGATAACTTTACCAGTATATCCAAACCTTTGGGGGCACAGAAAGAAAGGAAAAAGTATTGCTTCTTCAGGCGATCAATGATCATAGAAATGAATGAATGACAGATCTCTTGCATGTCCTCATTGCGAACCTGACTTTTCAAAAGAGACAGTGTACAATTTTCAATGTGATGCATCTCAATAGGAAAATAGTGCTTTTACCATAGACTGTAAAACATATGGACGAAGCCATCGATGACGTCACCCCATTGTTTCTTATGAGAATTCTGTGGAGCGTTTGAAGATCAGGAAGTGTAATTTCAGTGTGTCACCATCTTGCTAAGTTATAAATACCTCTGTAAGGTATGCAATGAGTGTCATGACAAGGTATGCAATGAGAGACATTCCTTTAAAAAGGAACTCAGGCATGCCCCACAGTTTGGGAACCACTGCTCTAGGAAGTGCCGTTGAAGGCTAGCTCAGTGCTGCCTCCTCTCATTGAATATACTGGCCGACCGAGGTACTACACCTGCCATTACCAACTCAATTATAATAATAATAATAATAATAATAATAATATGCCATTTAGCAGACGCTTTTATCCAAAGCGACTTACAGTCGTGCGTGCATACATTTTTGTGTATGGGTGGTCCCGGGGATCGAACCCACTACCTTGGCGTTACAAGCGCCGTGCTCTACCAGCTGAGCTACAGAGGACCACAAATTATCCTTTTAACTTCATCTGTGTTTGGTTAAAGGACATATATCTGGTGAAATAAAAGCAATGGCAGGTATTCGTATTAACATTTTAGCTTTTATAATAAACAAATGTATTTACAGTGTTACATATTTGTCTCTTGGGCTACCCAATCTTTTTTATTTTATTTAGAGCCCTGGGTGTGTGGTGTGCCTAGAGATGGCGCTGCAGTGGAAAGCAGCCGTTTTACGGGGTCCTGACCAATTCTGCTATTTCGTGTGTTTTTTTTACACTGATCGTAACTTTCTTTGTATATAATATCTCCACCCTCATTTCCTATGACCGAAAACAGCTTCTGGACATCAGAACAGCGATCACTAACCTCGATTTGGATGACAATTTCTACTTCAACGAGCCAGCAGCTCTGGACGTTCTGCATACTCCGGACCAGGCCCTAATCCCCGGGACTCAAAAGAGGAAACGATGGTGCAAAAGAAGCAAAAGAGCGGACCTGAAGAACTGTAATATCCTGTTTCTCGGAAGAAGGACATGGATAATATACATCTCGCTGGTTTTTCCATTCATCCTCTAGACCGGACGGCTGCCTCGGGTAAGATCAAGGGGGGAGGGGTGTGTCTCTTTGTTAACAACAGCTGGTGCGCGATGTCTAACATTAAGGAAGTCTCGAGTTTTTGCTCGCCCGGGTTACCATTTCTTTTCCGTAGCTGTCTATTTACCACCACAAACCGATGCTGGCACTAAGACTGCACTCAGCAAGCTTTATAGGGCCATAAGCAAACAAGAAAAAGCACACCCAGAGGCGGCGCTAACTCGTGGCCAGTGATTTTAATGCAGGGTAATAGAAATACGTTTTATCTCATTTTTACCAGCATGTCACCTGTGCAACTAGAGGCGACAAAGATCACCTTTACTCCACACACAGAAACACATACAAGGCTCTCCCTCACCCAAATCTGACCATAACTCTATCCTCCTGATTCCTGCTTACAAACAAAAACTCAAACAGAAAGCACCAGTGACACGCTCAATACGGAAGGGGTCTGAGGAAGCAGATGCTAAGCTACAGAACTGTTTCGCTAGTACAGACTGGAATATGTTCTGGGATTCATCCGATAACATTGAGGAGTTTACCACATCAGTCACTGGCATCATTAATAAGTGCAGCGATGTCCCCACAGTGACTGTATGTACATATCCCAACCAGAAGCCATGAATTACAGGCAACATCGACACTGAGCTAAAGGCTAGAGCTGCCACTTTCAAGGAGCGGAACACTAATCCGGATGCTTATTAGAAATCTCGCTACGACCTCCGACTAGCCGAACAGGCAAAGCGTCATGCATGAGAGCGCCAGCTGTTCCGGACGACTGTGTGATCTCGCTCGCCATAGCCGATGTGAATAAACAAGTTAACATTCAAAAGGCTGTAGAGCCAGACGGATTACCAGGACACGCACTCAAGAACATGCGCTGACCAGCTGGCAAGTGTCTTCACTGACATTTTCAACCTCTCCCTGACCCAGTCTGTAACACCTACATGTTTCAAGCAGACCACCATAGTCCCTGTGCCCAAGAATGCCAAGGTAACCTGTCTGTAAGTCGCTCTGGATAAGAGCGTCTGCTAAATGACTAAAATGTAAATGTAAATGACTATCGCTCCGTAGCACTCACATCTGTAGCCATGAAATGCTTTGAAAGGCTGGTCATGGCTCACATCAACACAATCATCCCAGACACCCTGGACCCACTCCAATTTGCATACCGCCCCAAAAGATTGACAGATGACGCAATCTCTATTGCACTCCACACTGCCCTCTCCCACCTGGACTAGAGGAACACCTATGTGAGAATGCTGTTCAACACTATAGTAGCTTCCAAGCTCATCACTAAGCTCAGGATCCTAGGACTGAACACCTCCCTTCATAACTGGATCCTGGACTTCCTGACGGGCCGCCCCCAAGTGGTGAGGGTAGGCTGCGTACGACTCCAACACTGTTACAGGCTTTGGTTTTTCCATTTATGTTTTGGAGGATGGACTTTAGCACGTATAGCTCGTTAGCACGTAGGGCGCACCGATTGGTCACCTCGTTAGTCATTATGTGTTACACCTGTGCTGGTTGCCATCTCATTTGTGGGAAGGTGTTTCACCTGTGCAGGCCCAGGTGCTATTTAAGAGTGGCTGGCCCAGTGCTCCAGTTGTCTTGAGAGATGCGGAGGGTTAACAGATGACTCTCCCTATTTTGATTTCTAGACAAACCTTCATCTCATTTCGTTTTGCTCCACCTTTTTGGTTTGCTTCCTGTCTTTTAGTTTGGTGTGGGTTTTTCTTTTGGTTTGCCTTTACTTAGGCAAATTTAGTCGGCGCTCATGGTGGGTGTCTTTTAGGTCCCAGTTGTTGTTGCTATGCAACTTTCAGTGGTCACCCCCACGAGTGTCTTTTAGAATCCCTCCTAAAACCCCACCTGTTTCATTTTGGTTGTTGTCAGTGACTCTTTGTTAGTTCCCTCTTCTTTTTGAGCGACACTAGGACATTGCCAGGACAACAACCTCTCCCTCAACATCAGCAAGACAAAAGGAGCTGATCGTGGACTACAGGAAACCGAGGGCCGTGCACGCCCCCATCCACATTGACGGGGCTGTAGTGCTTCAAGTTCCTCTGTGTCCACATCACTAAGGAATTAACATGGTCCACACACACCAACACAGTCGTGAAGAAGGCACGACCACGCCTCTTCCCTCAGGAGGCTGAAAAGATCCTCAAAAAGTTCTACAGCTGCACCATTGAGAGCATTTTGACTGGCTGCATCACCGCTTGGTATGGCAACCGCTTGGCTTATGACTGCAAGGCGCCAGATAGGGTAGTGCATACGGCCCAGTACAGAGGAAGGCCCTAAAAACACTCCAGCCATCCAAGTCAGACTGTTCTCTCTACTATTGCACGGCAAGCGGTATCGATGCACCAAGTCTAGAACCTGAACAGTTTCAACCCTAATGCCATAACACTGCTAAATAGATAACCGAATAGCTATCCGGACTATCTGCATCCACTCCTTTGGCTCATCATATATGCTGCTGCTTATTATCTATCCTGCTGCCTAGTGACTTTACCCACCTATATGTACATATCTCCCGGTTTGCATGGTGTCACATGCTAAGTGAAATATCTACCTACCTACCTTTACAGCAGATGACATCTATTGAGTCAGATGGCCTTTTACAACGTCTCATTACTGCTCTCATTGGCTAACCCTCTCTCATAGGCCCCTACCCATCTTAAAGACAGGAAGTCACTTTCAAGGAAGTGGCCTCTAAGAAATTGACACGTGTTTTTCCTATCATTGCAGGTGTGTCTGTGCATGTGGGGCATCTTACCTGGTCTCTCTTTGCCCGTTCCTTTACTCTCAGCCAGTTTCTGTATCAAACCCTCCACAGAGGTGTTCTCCATGTTCCCCAAAAACTCTGTATGGACCTGTAGAGGGACAACACAACAAACATAGGGTCAAGACGTGCACTTCGTTGACAGGTTGAGTAAGTTAGAGTTTTGTCCCCAAATTTATATTATACACTGCTCAAAAAAATAAAGGGAACACTAAAATAACACATCCTAGATCTGAATGAATGAAATAATCTTATTAAATACTTTTTTCTTTACATAGTTGAATGTGCTGACAACAAAATCACACAAAAATGATCAACGGAAATCTAATTTATCAACCCATGGAGGTCTGGATTTGGAGTCACCCTCAAAATTAAAGTGGAAAACCACACTACAGGCTGATCCAACTTTGATGTAATGTCCTTAAAACAAGTCAAAATGAGGCTCAGTAGTGTGTGTGGCCTCCACGTGCCTGTATGACCTCCCTACAACGCCTGGTCATGCTCCTGATGAGGTGGCGGATGGTCTCCTGAGGAATCTCCTCCCAGACCTGGACTACAGCATCCGCCAACTCCTGGACAGTCTGTGGTGCATCGTGGCGTTGGTGGATGGAGCGAGACATGATGTCCCAGATGTGCTCAATTGGATTCAGGTCTGGGGAACGGGCGGGCCAGTCCATAGCATCAATGCCTTCCTCTTGCAGGAACTGCTGACACACTCCAGCCACATGAGGTCTAGCATTGTCTTGCATTAGGAGGAACCCAGGGCCAACCGCACCAGCATATGGTCTCACAAGGGGTCTGAGGATCTCATCTCGGTACCTAATGGCAGTCAGGCTACCTCTGGTGAGCACATGGAGGGCTGTGCGGCCCCCCAAAGAAATGCCACCCCACACCATGACTGACCCACCGCCAAAACGGTCATGCTGGAGGATGTTGCAGGCAGCAGAACGTTCTCCACGGCGTCTCCAGACTCTGTCACGTCTGTCACATGTGCTCAGTGTGAACCTGCTTTCATCTGTGAAGAGCACAGGGCGCCAGTGGCGAATTTGCCAATCTTGGTGTTCTCTGGCAAATGCCAAACGTCCTGCACGGTGTTGGGCTGTAAGCACAACCCCCACCTGTGGACGTCGGGCCCTCATACCACCCTCATGGAGTCTGTTTCTGACCGTTTGAGCAGACACATGCACATTTGTGGCCTGCTGGAGGTCATTTTGCAGGGCTCTGGCAGTGCTCCTCCTACTCCTCCTTGCACAGAGGCGGAGGTAGCAGTCCTGCTGCTGGGTTGTTGCCCTCCTACGGCCTCCTCCACGTCTCCTGATGTACTGGCCTGTCTCCTGGTAGCGCCTCCATGCTCTGGACACTACGCTGAGAGACACAGCAAACCTTCTTGCCACAGCTCGCATTGATGTGCCATCCTGGATGAGCTGCACTACCTGAGCCACCTGTGTGGGTTGTAGACTCCATCTCATGCTACCACTAGAGTGAAAGCACCACCAGCATTCAAAAGTGACCAAAACATCAGCCAGGAAGCATAGGAACTGAGAAGTGGTCTGTGGTCACCACCTGCAAAACCAGTCCTTTATTGGGGGTGTCTTGCTAATTGCCTATAATTTCCACCTGTTGTCTATTCCATTTGCACAACAGCATGTGAAATTTATTGTCAATCAGTGTTGCTTCCTAAGTGGACAGTTTGATTTTACAGAAGTGTGATTGACTTGGAGTTACATTGTGTTGTTTAAGTGTTCCCTTAATTTTTTTGAGCAGTGTATATATATAACTTGTTTAGTTTATGGTTAGTGAATGCCATAATGTAGTTATTTTGTGAGATACTTCTCCTTATTAGCTGAAATCTAATTTTTTCAAAGCCATTTTAGCTGTCAACCTAGCTGTTCGGTCCGAACAGATTCACAAATCATGGGAATTTGTTGCGCTATGCAGAACGTTGTCTTCCTCCAAGGCACGTGTTGCTCGGCAACCCCCCTGAACAGGCCTGCTCACTCTCTTGATAAAGCCAGTGTAAGAAATGTGCTAACAAACGTTTGTGCTATGAAACTAAAATACCGCACACTGACCCAAAAAAAGGAATTGGCTAGTTTCATGATAGTGTTAGACAAAGCAAGGAAAGTGAACTTCAAAACGTGATGTCGTTTTATTGGAATTTGCAGCTGTTGTTGGTAAGTCATGAATCTGCTAGCTTCTGATATGACTTACTGAATCTTTATCTTGGAGTTTGTACTTTTGGGACTATTCCATTGGTTCCATTGTACAGGGCAAACTAAATCAAGCTCAGCTCAAGTATTTTCACATGTAATTGACCCTGGTATGGCATCAATCCAGTTAGGATTACATTAATAAAGGAATAAAGAACTTGAAGAACTGAAGGCAGAGTGACAGACACTTGGAATAAGACACACTTGCATGGGTGTTCACTGAGTCCACTGAGGGCTCACTCTGTGGTAGTAGTAACACTGGGAGGTACTGGTGCAAGAAAAATAAAAAAAAATGGGGCAGTGTATGTGTGGGTGCATGACAGAGAGTGTGTGTGCCTATATCTGTATGTTTGTGATATTCATGTGTGAGACAGAGAGAAAGGGGGGAGTGTGTGTGTGTGTGTGTGTGTGTGTGTGTGTGTGTGTGTGTGTTTGCTGTGTGGTGTGTGATGGCTTATGTTGTGTGATGGCTTATGTTGTGTGTGACAGCTCGTGTCCTTGGGGACCGCTCTCTGGGTGTCTCTGGTTTTAGAATGCTCAGAAGGAGTGACACATACAATATGGCTCTGTGCTTTTCACTGTATACTCCCTCTAAAAGACTGTACTACCCAGCATTTGCTTCAATCTCTGTTTCAAAAAATAAAAAACATCTCTGTACAATGTGTCTCAATGGTCTGTGGAGACTGGCTTACATAATACATGTTGGTATGGTTTTGTTGTGTCGGTAGATTTGTTGTTGACAGAGCAGTCTCCTGATGCCCTCTGGGTGCTATCACAGGAAGGATGGTGTTTGTTTGTTTGTTTTGGATGTCAGTGTGTGTGTGTGTGTGTGTGGATGTCAGTGGTTTGTGTGTGTGCCTGTGTGTCGGGGGAAGGGTAAAAGGACCAGATAGTCCCTGTTCGTCATCTGACTGACTGTGCCATCTCGCCAAACGATTCAGATGTGCGTGATACTGTAAGCACAACAGAGTCCCTCAATCCACTATCATGAACAAACATACACGCTGCCCCCCCCCCCCTCCCCTCCTGAGCCCCTCCGGCGAGGCGGAGTGCATTAGCCCCCTGTGCCCTCGCGGGGGGGTTGGGCGTAGGGGAGGCCGTGGCGAGGTCGAATGCTCACTCCAGCACACGCGATCTGTCAGGTGCTGCAGCCCTGCCGCTCGCTGTGTGCTGCTGCCATGAGGAAATGCACTAATGTCATCACCTGCGTCTCCCACACACACACACACACACACACACACACACACACACACACACACACACACACACACACACACACACACACACACACACACACACACACACACACACACACACACACACACACACACACACACACAGAACCCCCCTCCAACCCCTCTGTACCGCCAGTGATTTTTCACACATGCACAAACAAAACACACATCCGCACTCAAGGGCACTTCCCTCACACACAAATGCTCGCATACAAATACAAACATTGCACGCACAACAAACACACTACACACTACACACTTGCCCTCCTGTGACTCTGCACAGCACGCAGGCATATCGTTGTAAAAATATGAACCCGAATAAACACGCAGTAGTAATGAAGTAGTACCAAATATTACTTTTAGTTATATTGTCCACATATAAATGAATAAGTGAATAAATAATCGTACATGCCACTTAGCAGAGGCTTTTATCCCAAAGAAAATGACATATGGGTGGTCCCAGGAATCAAACCCAATATCTTGGCATTGCAAGCAGCATGCTCTACCAACTGAGCTACAGAGGACCACCTTCTCCTCTCAAACCACATTGTACCCTGTGGCCTCACATCCCCTCTCTACTTCCTCCCTTCTTCCCTCCTCTTTTCCCATGCAGTGGTCTTCAGTGGTTCTATTTAAGTCCAGAGAGTAGAGGGCTGAGACATGCAGACTGCCATGCCACTGTTTAGACCCCAGGTTAACAGGAAACTAACCAGGCTAGCCAGTGTGCCAAACAGCCAAGCTGGGCTGTCTGCATGTCGGTAGACATTGGGGTCACCTGGCCAGTTAATGTATGTGTGTGTGTGTGTGTGTTTGAGTCACTAGACCGTATGAATTATTTAAGTGTGTTGATGTGCTTGGAAAATATGGATTGTTTAAGAGTACTTGACCATGTGTGTGGACAGTGCCATGTCCATTTGCGTGTGCAGAGGTGTCATGCCCATAGGGGCCACAAGGGCATGTCCCATTTGCCCTGTTTTAAAAAATGTCCGATGTTAAATTAATTACTAAAATTCATTTTTAAGCCCACGTTTTATCATAATTATTTATAAAAACATCTGTCAGTGGTATCTTTGAGGGGGCACACTAGACCAGGCAAAAGGTACCCCCCCAATTCTCCCTAGTAAGTAGTTCCTTCCAAAGTGCACAACGGAGCAAAGAGACACAGCGTTTGATTTGATTTTAGCTGCCGGTGATGGGTAGGATTCACAGGAGGTATGTGTGTAACTTAATTTGATCAAGCTATGCAGCCTACTGATTCCTTCTTGATGAATAAATAAAACCATTTTTTTTTTGCTGTTTCTCTGTAATACTAGCCACCTAGCAATTTTATGAAGTTGGCTTTAGCTAGCCAGCTAGACTGGGAACCTATCTCCCAACCTCATAACTAGCTACCAAACCATTTCAGGCTATCAATCAAGTTAGAGTAGCTTGTCTATCTATCGTAGCTGGCATGCCTGCTGAAAATGTTGCTATACTTTAGAAAAGCAAGCAATTATAAAAGTAATAAGACTCACATTCCTTTCACTCTTTTACCCAGATTTTAGCAGAGAAGCATTTTTTAAAATGTTTTTAAAGCACCAGTCAAGAGGATACAGACCGCTCAAGAGGTATGCTTAGATATGCAGAAAGATACTTGGTTTAGAAGTCAATGGGGCGCCTTATGATAATATCATGATATTTCTGGATTAATTATGATACCCTGATATGTGCCTGTGTTGATGATGTATGTTATGATCCCATGTACTGTGTTGTCATTTGGATGTAATATCATAGGCATGTTAATGCAGTATATTGAGATGTGTGATTTACAACAGTCAGAATGACACCCTCATTGAAATGACAATTGAACAGATAAAGAGGTATGCTTAGATAACTTATGCAAAAACTATATATATATTTCTTTACAAGGAATTCAGCATAAAATATTATGGCTCTAGATTGCAGGAAAAAGCATTTTCCATCCCCACGCACTTTGTGCCCCCTCTAAAATAATGGGTGCATGACGCCCCTGTGCGGGTGTACAGTATATTGACAGTATGTATATTTGTTTGTCTATAGTGCTGGTAAAGTAAGTGTACTGTATGCGTGCGTGTTTGAGTGTCTGTGGTCTAACTGATGACGCAGTATCTTGCACGATTAGTGGCCACATTCTCCCTCCCTTCCTCCGATCCCACCTCTCCCCCTCCCCTCCATCCCTCCAACTTGGTAATGGTGCTCGATTGCTCACACAGCCTGGTTTAAAGGGTATTCATCACGGAATCACAATTACTTGGGCTGCCTGCGCGTAATTTCCCAGCCGTTTGGAATAGCACTCACCCACCTTAAGGCTCTATTGTAATTAAGCCCAGCCTAGCCAGGCTAACACAGACAGGCAACTTTGTCTTTCTCCTGTTCAAATGCATTGTAAGACTGGAGCTTTAGGGTAGAGTGGGGCTGTGGCTCCCCCTGTGGACACTTCTGGGACTGCAGCAGCAACAGCCACTACACAGTACAAACACAGTGGAGCGGAGTTTCTTTTTGAGTTGTCTATTCCGTCAAGTAGTAAAACCTCTAGAATTTCTTTAACAATATCTACCACAGAAGATAAACCTTTGAGATGTTCAAAAAAAGGGTGATGACATGATGTTGTAATTGGAATGATCAACATTGTAATTATCACTGATTCAGTACTATATGTACAGTAAAATATCCACACTTCGTAAGATCAGAGTGAGATGCCTAGTACAGTTGGCATGCCGTGCCTCTGGTTGCATGTTGAAGGTGTTTTAGATTGGTTGAGAGGGAGTTTAGATCAGTTTTTAATTGGTTGGTATAAACCGCTGAATGGAAGGCTTCCTGGTTCTCAGTTAAACGATTAGAGTGATCAAAGACTCCACTAATTCATCTGACACACAGTGAACCCACTGAGCAAGGGGACAGGACACAAACCCAACCCCGCCCACAGGAATGTGTGTGTGTGAATGCACGTATGTGTGTGTGTGTTGACTCACCTCTCCGATCTGAACGTGTGTCTCGTCAACAGATTGTGCGTACGACTGAATGATATCCTTCATGTGAACGATGTGGCTCTCCTCGATGTCCTGAAATTTCTTGAACACAGAAAGAAAAACACAAAGGAGTAAATATGCAAATCAGCCACTTACACTTAGGTGTACCTAAACTACAGGAAAACAAATATGCCAGTAGAAGAGTTAGGACCCAGAGTTTTCCCTGACCTTTGACCTGATCAGGAAAAACAGCCCCAGTGGAAGTGTTTTTTGTTTTTTTTTACATCCATCTTGCGCAAGGCGTCTATCACATCACACGTAGAAAATTGTTGAAATGAAAACAAAGATTCACTAGAGGCTGGGTGATGGGGCAGGCAGTCCATTGGAGTAAATATGCAGTTACCTGCAGCTTAACGAGATACTTCAGGATTTTGGCAATGAGGCCCTTTATATACTTCCCCATAGTCATATGAACTTGTGGATACCAATTTATGTCTCAGTGTCCAGTATGAAGGAAGTTAGAGGTAGTTTCACGAGCCAATGCTAACTAGAGTTAGCGCAATGACTGGAGACCTCAAACTTCCTTCACACTGGACACATAAAAATGGTATCCAAGAGCTCATCTGACTTTCAAAATACAGCCGGTATAATAATGAATTTTGACTATATCAACAATGGGACTAATGAAACAAATACCAAAATATCGTTTTTGGGTGGAATTGTCCTTTAAGCTGCAGGTCCAGTTGTCTACCTGCCCCTCTCCCAGCCTCTAGTGAATCTTTATTTTCATTTCAACAACTTTCTATTTGTGATGTGTTAGACGCCTTGCGAAAGATGGACGTAAAAAGAATCTGATTGGGCTGATTTACTTGATCATTTCTTGCTTTAGCTTTCTGCTCCTCTGATCGCAGAATCTTAACACATATTTTTAACCATACAATTATTTCAGGTACCATCCCTTGGGTCTGCAAATATATATACACTCCCCCCATTCAGAAAGGTGGTGACCCGTGTGACCTAAATAATTATCGCCCCATTTCCAAACTGTCTTGCCTAGCAAAAATTATAGAATCCTTGGTAAATACTCAACTTAATTCTATTTATCTACGAAATATATACTAAATATACACCAGTCAGGTTTCAGACCAGGTCATATAACCATTTCTGCTACTTCTTTGGTTTTAAATTATGTTCTTAATTGTTTGGATAAGAAGAAACACTGTGCGGCCCTTTTTATTGGCCTCTCTAAAGCCTTTGACACTTAAAAAAATAAATAAAAATTAATTTCACCTTTATTTAACCAGGTAAACCAGTTGAGAACAAGTTCTCATTTACAACTGCGACCTGGCCAAGATAAAGCAAAGCAGTGCGATAAAAACAACAACACAGAGTTACATATGGGGTAAAACAAAACAAAGTCAAAAATACAACAGAAATACATATATATACAGTGTGTGTAAATGTAGCAAGTTATGGAGGTAAGGCAATAAATAGGCTATAGTGCAAAATAATTACAATTAGTATTAACACTGGAATGCTAGATGTGCAGAAGAGGATGTGCAAATAGAGATACACTGTGGACTACTCATTACTTATTCAGAGGCTTTCATCAATTGGCCTGGACCTGACTGTGTGTAGCTGGTTTGAACATTATTTAAAAAAGGACAGAACACAGTGTGTATTTACTGGTGGTGTTAAATCAGGTTTTCTGGACATAACAAAGGGTATTCCACAGGGATCGATTCTTGGTCAGATTCATTTCACTATTTACATGAACAATATTGGTTTATCTGTAAAAAAAACTAACTTTCACTTGTATGCAGATGACAATGTGGTGTATACTATTGCCCCCACAGCTGATCAGGCTATATCAGAGCTTCAATAAGCCTTTATTGCCCTGCAGAAAGCAGGTATATTAAAAGACTAGTATATTGATGTGTTGCACACTCAATGTCTATAAAGCACTCTTGCATAAACTTCGGCCATACCTTACCTCATGTTAACCTTCAGACGTATAAGTTACCAGACCCGAACTCAGGGATGGCTAACCCTGGAGATCCATTCAATCTCCACCGAGTGAAGTAAATCTGCTTTTAGTTTTTTTTGCGCCTCTCATGTGGAATGAATTCCAAAACTCCTTAAAGTTGGTGGAGCTGGTGCCTCTAAAGCAATTCAGGCAGCTGTTCGAGGGCCTTTTTACTGAAGAATGTGTTTGTTTCATACGATTGTGTTTTGCTTTTCGTGTTTGCTTTCCATGTATTGTGTAATTGATGTGTATATAGATAGGCTACGTAGCCTATAGTGTAATTGTTGTTTATTGATGTGTTGATGCAGGGCTCATCTGCAAAAGAGGCCGTGGTCTCAGCATGACTCCCTGCTTAAATAAAGGTTAAAAAAAATAAAGGAAACACCAACATAAAGTGTCTTAGTAGGGCGTTAGGTCACCACGGGCCACCAGAACAGCATCAATGTGCCTTGGTGTGCATGTGTGTAGCTTATAGATAACCTATATAACTAAGACACATATTTTTTCCTGGTCAGGCCAGGTCAGGAAAAACTCTGGGCTCTGTCACGGGTTACGAAAAGAGGAATTCAAAGAGTATGTGTACAACAGAACATGTGCACCGTGTCCAATGCAGGAAACACCGCGCAGGAGGATTACTCTTGGATTCATAAAAACACATGCATACATTTCCCTAAAGACTTCCTCTTTGTGCCCTGGCCACTTCCTTCTTGTGTGTGTTGTCTCTATTTGGGTGGTCTGGAAACGAAGGCACACCAACACAGATCCCCCTGGAGCACAAGGTGCCAATTATCCAGGGTGGGCCAGCCATGAGATACACGGAGCAGGCTCATCTCTGGTCTCTGGGTTTGGAGCGGTCTCTGTGTGTGTGTGTGTGTGTGTGTGTGTGTGTGTGTGTGTGGCTGGGCTCTAAATGCTGGTGTTTACTCCCATCTAGGGCTGGCTCTGGCTGAAGAGAGTTTGGGGTAAACCGAGGAGAATGACTATAAATAATCATAAAACTGCAAATTCACAGCGTGGCTAGAGGGGAAGATGAGCGTGCATGACCGCATAAACACACACACACGCTCACAAGCTCGTAAAATGTGCACAAGCATAGATATAGGCAATTTCATATTCTCTCACACACACACATCCATGATTGCGCCAGCAAACACTACCACATTTAGTGTACACACACAAACACATGACACACAGAGTTCATTCACAGATGAGCACACATGCATAAACCCCCAGCATTCACGTCAGCCTCCAGACACACTCAGACAGAGTCAGACAGACAGATAAGAGCCACAAACCCGAAACACACACATGCAAGTGACGTCACAGAACACATGTGCCCGCGCCGTGCTTCTAAGTCATGTGAACGTGTTGAATTTGAGATGAGCCGTAGACTGTGATCTTAGGAAGCAGAGCTGTCCTGCTGTTTTCTCTGGGGGAAAACAGAAACGCTCCCCTAACTCAAACCAGTTTGGCTGTGTGGCTCGCTGCGGTGCAGGAGTATATGGAGGGCCAAATTCTGTTGATCTGATTTTAATTTGGAGTTTATCTAATCAGTCGTTCAGATGGTTCCAATCAGAGTTTTCCACAATGATTCCGTTAGGGAGGAAAAAACAAGCTTTAAAGATGATAAAGGGCATGGAAAGCAGAACACACACAGCACGGAATACTGAGCGGTGGACACACACACACACAGCAAGGCCCTTAGAACATGCACACAAAGCACATAAGAGTACAGTACACCACACACACAAAAAAAGAAACACACAACCACATTCTCCTGTGGTACTAGAAAGTGCACAGAATAACTAAATCACACAAACCCACACCTGTGCAGTTTCAGCCATCTTCTGTTCAAACTCGGACTTGGCTGTGGCGTATTTCTCCACAAGGCCCTTGTAGGCTTCTGTGGCTTTCTTGGCCTTCACTCCCGCCTGCAGAAACACAGAGAGACAGACGGACAACAGGAAAATGGCCATGTGTTCTCATGGGTCACCATCATTCCTCTATGGAGCAACAGATCTCACCAGAGCAGAGACACCAAACTACTACAGTATGTGATTCAGAAACAGATTGGGGCAGTAAACGGATCTTCTGGCGTTACTATTACGAATGTACATAATGACAGACTGGGTTGTAAGATCTCGCTGAAATGGAGACAGAGAATGGGCTAGTGATATGAGGTATTGGGAACCTACAGCTGCCCACTTCCGATCTTCTGTTGTCTACCCGTGATTTCCCCACACTCCCACCTTGTCCACATCGTCTTTGTGGCTCTCTCCTAGAGTAGCTTGGTCTAGTGTACTTAAGTCTAGTGTAGTGTACCTTGTCCACTTCTCTCTGTGTGGCTCCCTCCTTGCGGAGTCTCTCCTGCTCCACAGTTTTGGCGTTGTAGTTCTCCTTGGACTTCTGTAAGGCCACCCCGGTCGTCTGGATGGTCTGTACTGCCCCATTAGTGGATGCCACTTCCTCCTTCGTCTGAACAAGACAGAGGGAGGGGTAAGACAACAACCATTAAAACAATTTCAAAACACATTCATTTTAGTGTAGCTTGAAAAGCCATTTATTGAAACCACTTAATGGCAACAAAGATCATTAAAATAGAAGAGATTGGTTAAAACCACATATTCACATGAAGAGAGAGAGAGAGATAGGCGCTGTGTGTGACACCACTTTTGTTATGCTGAAAGCACAAACACGTCTCTGCTGCTAATTCACAGTCACTGTTTCGTTAGTTAGATTGAGAACTTTCATACTGGCCCCCCCCCGTGGGAATCGAACCCACAACCCCGGCGTTGCAAATGCCATGCTCTACCAACTGAGCTACATCCCTGCCGGCCATTCCCTCCCCTACCCTGGACGACGCTGGGCCAATTGTGCGCCGCCCCATGGGTCTCCCGGTCGCGGCCGGCTACGACAGAGCCTGGATTCGAACCACTTAGACCACTGCGCCACTCGGGAGTCTGACTAGAGCAGGGAGAGAAGTGTGTAAAATGCATGCTTCAAACCACAGCCCTGGCACGACAGCATCGACTAGCCTAGCTACTGCAGATCAGCAGACTTTGGCAGGCTAACAGACTGATCAAACACAGCTATGCTTTGTTACTCTCTAGAGAAATGAAATGATTCATCAAAAGCAGAACCTCCTGGTTCCTTTATAAGGCTACTCTAAAGTAGTGAGATCATGTCTGCAAGCTGATCGTGGTGAGATCATTCAGGATGGGCCATTTTCTATAACAGAATCAATAAAAGCCAATAGAACTCAGAACGGGTAAACACATTACGCGTTAACTGGAAGATGGGTCAGATCCGGCTGACTCCACAAGCAGGGAGGGAAGACCGAGACTGATAAAGCTCAACAGCTACACAGTGTGGCTACTCCAGGCAGGACAGTGAATCTCCAACAGAACACACGCATTCTCTCCAGAATCAGTAGAATCACTCTACTAAAACTCTTCCCCATAGCGGTGACTGAAAGGAATCAACTTTATTGACCTTCAGAGGGTGAACATAGGTTTGTCCCCAGCAGCAGCCTACCCAGACAAACAGTACAAACACACAGGCATACAGAGCACAGGAACCAGCAAGGACAGACTAGCTGATGCCTAAAGGAACAAAGTAGAGGTCCTCTGAAGCTCAGTTGGTAAGGCATGGCTTTGGCGCTTGCAATGCCAGGATAGTGGGTTCGATTCCCGGCTCCAATCATACATTCAAAATGCATATGTATGCACATATGACAAAGTTGCTTTTGAAAAAATATATATTAGTGTGTTGTTGTGTGCAGTTCTCCATGCCATACCTTTTTGTGGACCTTGGCCTGGTCATCCACATACTTCTGCACATCTTTGATGAGCTCCTGTAGCTTCCTCACTAACTCCAGGTGGCAGCTGGCCAGCTTCTCTGTGGACGTCTTAAACACATCCCACACCGGGGCAAATGTCCTGCAGGACACGTGCACACACACTTTATTAACTGGAGTGTGTTCAGTAGAGCATTCATTCAGACTTGTCTTATCCTTAAATAGGGAGGGTTGATATGGAATACAAACTCATCCCTCTTCACCTGACCTGACTCTCTGTGTGTGTGTGTGTGTGTGTGTGTGTGTGTTCTTCTATCCTTGTGGGGACCTAAAATCCCCAAAGTCCCCACAAGGATAGTAAAACAAGGAAAATTCTTCTTGTGGGGACATTTCCCACATCCCCATGAGGACAAATACTATTTTAAGCTTTGGGGTTAAGGTAAGGTTTAGGGAAAATAGGATTTTGAATGGAAATTAATTTTAGGTCCCCAGAAGGATAGAAGAACATAATGTGTGTGTGTGTCTTACCCAAGCTGAGAGAAGTTGCCAGCTGACTTGGCAAGTTTGGTCATTGACCTGGCATAGACCTCTTCTATGGTAGCCCTAGAGGGACAAAACACATCACGTCATTACCTTCATCATTTTTACCTACTGAATCAGTAACATCACTCAGTATGCGTTCCAAATGGATTCCATATATAGCGCACTACTTTTGACCCTATGGTCCCTAGTCAAAAGCAGTGGACTATATAGGGAATAGGGTGCCATTTGGGATTGAGCCTCAGTCTCTTCTGAATCAGTTCAACCAATATAAATCCATCAACACAGTACTAAAAGCCCTCAAAATCTCTACCAGTTGTAATGAGTTTTAATTGAGTGACTACAACAAGTACTGTACATGTAAGCCAAAGCACAAGACAACTCCACTCCCACAAAACACACACACACACGTCTGACTGCAGGCACAAAGTTGAGTGTTGGTTGGGCTTTGCTTTGACTAAGTGTGGCTCATCGAGTAGTGAGCTCTGCTCGTCACGGCCTCCTATCTAGTGTCATGTCGAAGCCTTCCCTCCCTCATCATCCCCCCGTTCTCCTGCATGGAAGTGACAGAAGTAAAAACTTAAAACGTTGGTTTAGTGGAGGCCTGAATGATGCATGTGTCATTTACTCAGGCTCCCACTGCAGTCACGTCAGCACAGGAGGAGAGGAGGGTCAGTGAGGGGGAACTAGAGCAAGCACGCATTCGCACACGTGCGGGCAGGCAGGCACGCACGTACTCAGGCAGGCACAAAGACAGAACACTAGCATGCATGAAAGCACACGCACATTCTGACTATGAGTACAACAAACACGTGTGCCAAGTTACATGCACAAGCCTTCTACCTTTTCTAACAGACAGTTAGGTTTAAGGTTTAAGGTTTATAGAATTTATTCTTGACAGGTTACCATGGTTGGTCATCCTTATCAGTCGTGGCATACTCTCTCTATATCCTCACCCCAGGAATAATAATTGTCCAGTTCCCAAATCCACAACTCAAGGCTCTCACAAAGACACACACACAGGAAATACCATGACTCCACAGAGAATAAACACACTCCAGGTGTGTAAATACCCTCTGGGCCAAGACAATTCTCCCTTCCAAAAAGCCAATTTATGCTTGATCCGAAATTGTGGTCGGAGGCTCCGTACAGATGGTGTGACGCAATTGCGGAGCCTCCGGAGGCACGCAGAGGCCAAATTAACCTCTGTACCGCATTGCCATGCGCCTCTCAAATTTTGTAACAATGCAGGGCTCAGTATAACTCTGTATTAACATGATTGGTTGATGGTAGGTGGGGTGGGAGGTCCTGTATAAACACAAACTCACGTCCATGAGAACTTCCTTCACAACAGCTCTGCGCTGCTCTGCAAAGTGCAAGAAGTATGAATGACCGGTCTTCTGCAGAGGCCGTATCACCATAAATGCTGCATGGCCAATGCAGACGTTGGATTGACCGTGCAGCGCCTTTGACTCACACAGACCTGCCTGCACCCCTCCACTCCAAACTCAAACACTCAAACTCAAAGTTACTTTCAAATCTATTTATCTTTGACTTATACACTGATTGTACAAAACATTAAAGACACCTGCTCTTTCCTTGACGTAGACTAACCAGGTGAAAGCTATGATCCCTTAATGATGTCACTTGTTAAATCCACTTCAATCAGTGTAGATGAAGGTGGAGGAGACAGGTCAAAGAAGGATTTTAATGCCTTGAGACAGTTGAGACATGGATTGTGTATTTGTGCCATTCAGAAGTTGAATGGGCAAGACTAAATATTTAAGTGCCTTTGAACGGAGTATGGTAGTAGGTGCCAGGCGCACCGGTTTGTGTCAAGAACTGCAACGCTGCTGGGTTTTTCACGCTCAACAGTTTCCAGTGTGTATCAAGAATGATCCACCACCCAAAGAATATCCAGCCAACTTGGCACAACTGTGGGAAGCATTAGAGTCAACATAGGCCAGCATCCCTGTGGAACGCTTTCAACACCTTGTAGAGTCCATGCCCCGACGAATTAAGGCTGTTCTGATGGCAAAAGGGGGGGTTGCAACTCAATATTAGGAAGTCGGTCCTTAAAGTTTTGTACACTCAATGAACAGATAGATACAAGTGAACAACTCCCTGCAGGACGAATATTGGTTGTGTGTTTGAGAGGCCTGGGATACAGGCCACAGTCATTGTAGCAGGCTATCTCTTTACACAATTCGGTGCATGTTTGTGTCTGGCCACCAGAGGGAGCCACAGTGTAGTGTTCCTGAGAGATATGAGAGACATCCTCAATGGAACAGTTGCAGAAAACCCAGATCCAATCACATGTCAAGACTGATACTGATGGGTAGGTAGGTGTGCAAGATGAGTTTCAGTTACACAGAGGAGTAAAGATATAGCATAGGCTTAATCCTGAGATGTAGGCTAGTAAGCTACCCGTCTACACCACAGGCCGTGTCTACACTTGACACTTACATGTGACTTCTGCTATCAGAATACAAAGATCGTATTGAAAAGTCGGGTCTAGTCGCACAAAAGTCGCATTGTGGTCTGATTGTGTTCAGGTCTGGCTGACGAGGTGGTCAGGGACGCATTGTGTGCGGATTTCTACTCAGTCTGGATGCAATCAGGCTACCGAAAGTGCATAAAGTGGGTGACGTCATCAGCACTCCGCCCACAAGTCTCCAGAAAACGTGTGTTTTTGGAGCGAGGGACCTTTTCATTATAATGTTGGAGCAAATGCGTTCCTAGCGTGTGAAGAACGTGTTTGATGGCCTTATACATTCTAGCCAGCTGGGAAAATGTTTGTTTTTTTGTTGGACTAGAGCTATGCTAACCGGTTTGGGTTGCGGAAATGTAGGGGGACATGAACAAAGGCAAATAAAAAAAATATGTTTTTATTTGTTAAGGAACTCAGGTTGCGCATCAGCAGTTTCCCTCTTGTCATGTCACTCATTGCAGACCTTAGAGAGCTACACTGAACAAAAAGATCAATGCAAAATGTAAAGTGTTTGTCCCATGTTTCATAAGCTGAAATAAAAGATCCCAGAAATTTTCCATATGCACAAAAAGCGTATTTCTCTCAAATGTTGTGCACAAATTTGATTACATCCCTGACAGGTGTGGCATATCAAGAAACGGATTAAACAGCATGATCATTACACAGGTGCACCTTGTGCTGGGGACAATAAAAAAAGGCCACTCTAAAATGTGCAGTTGTCACACAACACAATGCCACAGATGTCTCAAGTTTTGAGGGAGCATGGAATTGGCATGCTGACTGCAGGAATGGCCACCAGAGCTGTTAGCATTGTGAACAGAGTGCCCCATGGTAGCCGTGTGGTTATGGTATGGCCAGACATAAGTTACAGACAACGAACACAAGTGCATCTTATCGATTGGCAATTTGAATGCACAAAAATACCGCGACGAGATACTGAGGCCCATTGTGAGGCCCATTTTTTAAAAAGGTATCTGTAACCAACAGATGCATATCTGTATTCCCTGTCATGTGAAATCAATAGATTAGGGCCTAATGAATTTATTTCAATTGACTGATTTCCTCATATGAACTGTAACAGTAAAATCTTTGAAATTGTTGCATGTTGCGTTTATATTTTTTGTTCAGTATATTTATAACTTATAACCTATATGCATTTTGTAGCGGCACATCCCCCCTAAGTCTGCCACCGCTGCTGAAAAAAATCCTAGGGGAAACACTGGTTCCCCAATGATGAAAGGGTAGCATGAGAAAAAGAAAACTGTGTATATTTAAAAAAAAAGATGATCATTTTTGTATGGACCAGCCCAGGCTGAAGGTACGCTTTGGAATTCCTGTAGAATTCCACCAGGAAACCTTTAGCAGATGAGGTTATAAAAATAGAGCTCAGACACAATGAAAGACATCTCAAGGTGTGAGAGGAATTATCAAGGAAGGTAGAATTAAGGTTTTATTATGGTTTAGACGCTACAGGTATGCAGTCCACTATACCAGTGTTTACAGTCTATAGTGTGGGCTAAATAGGCCTAAACCTGTGTGAATAGGCTACACCGGACACCTTCCACAGTAATTCCTTAGGTTGGATTAACCAAATCGGGTTTGCTCCTGGGTGATATAAAATGCTGCAATATTAATCTAGTATACCAAAACATTAGGACCCCCCCCCCCACCCCCATTCTTCATACACACAGGAAACTGTTGAGCGTGAAGAACTAACCCGGCAGAGTTGCAGTTCTTGACACACTCAAACCGGTACGCCTGGCACCTACTACCATACCCCGTTCAAAGGCACTTAAATATTTTGTCTTATCCACCCTCTGAATGGCACACATACACAATCCATGTCTCAATTGTCTCAGGTCTTAAAAATCCTTCTTTAACCTGTCCCCTTCATCTACACTGATTGCAGTGGATTTAACAAGTGACACCAATAAGGGATCATAGCTTTCACATTTATTCACCTGGTCAGTCTATGTCATGGAAAGAGCAGGTGTTCTTAATGTTTTGTCCACTCAGTGTATAAGTCAAGTAATTGATTAACTACAACACTGGCTCCCTCTACAGCAAATAGGTCATCAAGCCCTAGTCTCACAATTTTAACATACATTAAGCGAATGATTGACTTGAGAATGTAATTTGGTCACTAATGAAAAAGTTAACATGTAGGCAAATGTGGTTGATGAAAAAATGCTAAAAAAATGGAAAATGGGTTCCATAAAGACTTTGGCTAGAGAAACTTCTGTGTGTAAATCATCTATTGGTGTCAATGGGAAATGGGTGCAAATCTTGAGATGCGTGTGTATCTCAAGTTAGCTAGTTAGATATGCGTGTGTATCTCAAGTTAGGGTTAGCCTATGAAATAATACCAAGTCAAAACAGAAAATCCCCAACATTTCATTTGCATAACCATTGAACCAGAAGACTGAAAACAACACCTGCACTGAGAGAAAAGAGACTAATCTGAAGAGAAAACATGAAATGTTTTCGTAACAGACGGTTAAGTTAAAGGTTAACTATAAAAAGAGTGTTGAGTAACTTTGAAAGTAAGCCTCGAGATACAAATTCACCTCTG